CATGAGCCAGGCTCAGGTCATACTAAATATAAGTTACGAACAGTGGTCTTTGTCTACTTCCAGGTGATCACCTATATGCATAGGTGATCGCAATCAGTTGGCAGAGCCAACTGATCACTGAGCGTTCCTTCCTATGCCCCACTAATTGTTTCCTTATCTTATCGTCACGTGACTTATACTATAGTTCTTCTGTTTCCAAGTGAGTCCCTGTTGTTCCTGTGATTCTGCAGTATAAATATCCTGTTCTAGCCGCCCGACGTCCGAGTGGGTTGGTCGATTGTTATCCTTGTTTACAGGTCGTAACATCAGGTCCCCTCTCCAAAGGTCTTATCCTCAAGACCTAACATAAGTAGGCCGTTAGTCCTAGGTTGGGGATCTATCAATCGTGCTTCCTGATTTACTTATGATGCTGACACTATGTCAGGTTGCGTTCAGAAATCGAAATCAAGTTCTGCCTCTACTCTTCGTCGTCGCAATCATGCCCTGCGTATTGCTGAGTTTGGTTTTACTGTCGACATGCCTTGTTCTTATTGTCGTTCCGCAGGGAAGCGTTGCAAATTGCTTCTAGGCGGTGAGGTTTGTGGCGAGTGTACTCGTTTAGGGCAGTCTTATAATGCGGCGGCAGATGCTGTTTATGCTTGTATATCCTCGTTATTCTCATGTTCGTGAGGGGTGCTAATTTATTCTAGTCGATCGCTTGCTGGACGAGGCAGCTCGTTTGGAGGATGCGGAGGTGGCTGAAGAGGAGGTGTTGAGGAAGAAGGCTGCTGCTTTGCGTGCTGCGCAGGCTGAGTTGGACGAGTCCATAGCGCAGTTAGATCGCTTGCGTAAGCAGAAAAGGATGGTGTTTCGAAAAGGTAGGGAGGTTACAGAGGAAGAACTGGTAGCGTCTCCTGCGTCAGAGGTCCAGTCTATAGGTGGCTTCAGAGTGTTGGATTTAGACTTAATCCTGGATTAGAATCCAGGTACTCCAAGCTTTTTGTCTGGAGAATCTTAATCGTATTCCAGCGTTCCTAGGCGAATGAAACTCCTCGTTTATGCTGCGCGAGGTTGTCCTCTAGGTCGTGCCTATACTAGTAGGAGTCGTATTCTTTGTTTTTTAGCTTCTCTTCATGCTTATTGTATTTCTCGTTATGTTCGTTCGTTTTCCTTTGCAGGATTTGCTTCATATTTTTTGAATTCTTCAGAAGTTATAGGTGGACTTGGTCTGTCTCAGGGGTTAACGTGGTTAAGTGTTCCAATATATTTGTTGATCTTTTCTCAACAGTTAAGTAGGTTGTTATTAGGTTCCCATATGTTGTCTTTATGTCTGTAGTTTTTCTATTTGACTAGGTATTCCTATTTGTTGTCTCTATATTAGTGGTTAAGTAATTTCTCTACTTCATACTCTAGTTTATTATCTTCCACGATAATGAGATCGTTAGTGTGTGATCCTTATAGTGCTAGTCTAAGTAGTGAGATATGGAATACTGGGTGACATTTCATGGTTTCCAGTAGTTCGAGTTTGTAGTTAACTAGCGAGATAACTCGTGAGATTTTAAAAGGCCTGAGTTTTTTATAGTTGAGTTTGTCGTTTAGTCGTTTTGTTTTGATGTTTCGCCGTATAAGATAGGCGCTATCTCCCTCTTCTAAGGTTGGTCCCTCAATCCTTCGTTTGTTGCTAAACTTAGTTATTCGTTATTATACGAATTCTAGTTCCTTTCGTGCGTTTTCCTAGATATCCTTGATTTGTCGTACTGAGGCAATAGCCTTGACTGCAGCTGGGCCTGCTTGTGGTTCTCTATATGCGGTTGGATCGAATCCATAGTTGAGGTAGAAGGGGGATTCCTTAGTACTTTCTCCTACTGCGCTGTTATAGGCAAATTAGGCAATTAGTAACAAAGTGACCTAATTGTTTTGGTTATAGTTGACATAAGCGTGGAGGTATGTTTTGAGGATTTGGTTGATTCGCTCCGTCTGTCCGTCGGTCTGCAGGTGAAATGCAGTGGATATTGATTGTTTGATGCTGAGGTGTGATGTGATTAACTTCCAGAAGTTGGAGGTAAAGATCTTATCCCTGTCTGACACGATTTCCTTAGGTGCTCTGTGGTTGGCGATAATATATTTGAGGAAAGTGTAGGCATATTCTTTAGCGTTGCTTGCTTCTTTGTATAGGATGAAGTAGGCGTACTTCGTGAGTCAGTCCATAATAATAAGAACGCTGTCATAATATACTCCTATAAGGGGTTCTTAAGACTTAAGTAGTTTGATAATAAAGTCGAGGGATATAGATTGCTAGGCGGTTTGCAGCATAGGCAAAGGTTATAGCATTCTATAAGGCTGGTGGTAAGCAGGTTTGCTTTTAAGGCAGACCTCATAATCCTTAATCGCTTTTGCTATATATTCTCTGGTGACCTTTTCTCTATATTGTCGTCGTAGTTGTTTCTAGGTTTTTGTGATTCCTTAGTGACTATATGCTGGGCGAGCATGGAACTCAGCAATAGCTTCGTCGTCTAGTTTGTTAGGCGGGCTAGCATTAGATCGTCCGGCTATCATTAAGAGCTTAGCTGCTGGTACTAGGTCTCCTTAGTTATCTATTTTGAGAATCACTTAGGTTTCTTCAGGCACTAGGACGTTATGGTCTGGTCTTCAGCTGAGAGCATCAGCTCTGCTGTTGTCTGATCCTTTCTAGTGGATGATTTAGAAGTTGAATCCTAATAGGAATTCTAACCATTATACTTATCGTTTTTCTAATACTTTTGAGGTTGTAAAGTGTGTGAGGTTCTTATAGTTGGAATATATAAGTACTTTATGGATAGTTCCTAAAAGTTTAGGTCTCCACTCTTTAAAGGCTTCAATAATCGCCATGAGTTCTTTGTTGTGGATTTTGTAATTAAGCTCTGGTCCTTTAAGTTTCTTAGAAAAGAAGGCGTAAGGGTGCAGACGTCCCTCTGAGTCTTATTATGACAGTTATGCTCTAATTGCATAATCTGATGCGTCAGGCTCTACTTCAAATTGCTTCGTAGGGTCTGGGATAAGGAGGACCAGTTTGCTGGTGACGAGGTCCTTGACTTTCTGAAAGGCTATTTGTTGCGGTCTTTCCCATCTAAATGGTTCGTTCTTGCGACTGAGGTCTGTGAGCGCTGCGTTGATTTTTCTGTAGTTTTTGATAAATTTCCAATAGAAGTTGACAAAGCCTAAGAATCCTTATACTTCCTTGAGGTTTTTTGGTGTTAGCTATTCTTAAACAGCTTTAACCTTGTTTCTAGACATGCTGACTTCTCCTGGGGCGATAGTGAATCCAAGATATTCCACTTGTTATGTGTGGAATTCGCTCTTCTCAGGCTTAACCAGGAGTCTGGCTTCCTGAAGGGTTCGCAAAACGTTATGTACGTCTTTTTTATGTTTCTCTAAGGTGGGGGAGAAAATGAGGATGTCGTCTAAGTAGATAACTACACAGAAATCGACATACTGTCATAGTATGGTATTAATTATATTCTGAAATATTGCAGATATATTAGTAAGACTGAAGGGCATAACGAGGTACTCGAAATATCCTTTCCATGTCCTGAAGGCGGTCTTCTATTCTTCTCCCTGTTTCATTCTGATCAGGTTGTAGGCTCCTTTGAGATCTAGGGCTGTGAACCAGTTAGCTCCATGGAGGAGTCGTCTTATTTTGTCGATAAGGGGTAATAGGTAACAGTTCTTAATCGTCATCTTATTGAGCATGCGATAGTCGACGTATAGTCGTAGTTTTCCGTTCTTCTTTGGTACGAATAGGATTAGGCTTCCTGCTGGTGATGTTGAGGGTCTGATGTAACCCTTTTGGAGGTTTTCTTCGAGGTACTTATCTAAGGCTTCTATCTCAGTAGGATTAAGTCTGTAGATCTTATTGAATTATGGTTCCTTCCCTTCTCTAAGGGGGATTTCGTGGTTGAAGCTTATGTGTTTGGGCAGTCTGGTTTCTAGTTCGGCTGCAAAGAGTTTCTCATAGGCTCTGTATTCTTCTGGGATAGACAGAAGTGGATCTCTCTTCTGTTTGAGATCTATCGTTATTAATATTTGTGACGTGGCTTCCTTTGCCTTAAGGTAGCAGATATACCGTTTTGCTGTTCCTTATTGTATCAGCTCGTTTGAGGCCTGGTTTTGACAGGGCTGCTCAGGGACTGAGTCGTCGTGGTCCCAATAGAGTTAGCCTCTGCTCCAATCTATCTGTGGGTTGCTCGTTCGTAACCAGGGTAATCCTAGCACTATGTTGTATATTCCTAGATCGGCAATATTGAATTAGATTCTTTCTTTCTGATTCAGGTAACTCATCTTAAGGGGCGTAGTCTCATTATAGATAGTACCTCCTTCGTACTTGAATTCTTCTCCTTCTGCCGTGTGTAACTGGTATGGTTGTTGTTTTCCTCCCTATTATACTTCTAACCTGTTGATAGCTTGGGGGGCGATGAAGTTTGCTTCAGCTCTGCTGTTAATTAGCATAAGTGTCATCTGTTTGTTGATAGTGATTCTGAGTTCTATGTTTTTCTTATGTCCTTGTGACATCTGGTAGATAGATCCTTTCCTTATTACCTGTTATGATCTGTTATTAGTAGGCGAGTCTAGTTTTTTGACTGCTCTGATTATCCTAGGTAGGTGATTCGTTTTCCTTCCCATGCTGCCTTAGTGAGGCTGTTTTCACATATCCTAACCTAGGGGGGTCTCAGTCTGTCTTTTATAACTCTCTAGGCGTATACCTTATTCTGGTAATAAATTTGATATTCGTCGCATTAGCATTCGTTCTATTTTATGTTGTCGTTATGCTAGCATTTCATAGGGAATTAAAGGCTTAGTCTAAAGACTGTGAGATTTTCTTCAAATAGTACTATAGTCCATCCGATCATAGCGGATATTAAGTAAATTTCTCAGATATACTTATTATTATGTCTTTAAGAGTAGAATTAGTAGTCATGCTTTTCTCCTATATACTCCTTATATTTGTCGTGGAAACACTAGGGCCAGAAGAGGGTTCGATAGAGTTAATAGTTGATTCTCAGCGCAGGATAGTCTTCCATGTGTAGCTGGGGGGTGTAGTCCCAGTCTTGCTGGTTTGCTGAGGTGCTATAGAAATATCGTTGTTGCTTATCTTGAAGCATGTCGATTTCCTGGTATTTCAGGAGTTGCTTGATTCTGTCTTCCTGGTCGTCAGAGTCCTCTTCAGAGCTGGAGTTATCTATACTGGGGGTGAACCTACAGGTGATCTCTGTCTGAGCATGTTATCAGGCAACGTCACAAGGCTCGTCTAAATCATAAGGCGAACTTTCTCCTTCCCCAAATATCCAGTCGCTGGTCATACTGAGGAGTTGTTGTTCTGTTAAGGGGTTATGTTGATATTCTGGTTCTTCCTCTGATTCTTCCTGTTGGCGTAACTGCGTTTGTCTGGCGTCTTCTCGCTAGATTATTTCTATTTCCTTCTAGATTTGCTGTTCTTTGTAGTGGAGTTGTTAAGGGGTTGGTTATAGAATAACAGGTTCTAATCGTTAGATTTGTAGCATTTCGTTAAGTGGTTCGGCTGGTTTCCTGGCGATCTTGCTGTTGCTGGAATGCATTATTGCCAGGGTCCTAGGGCGAGTATCTGGAGCGGTTATGTTGTATCTGGAGCGTCTGGGGTTGCTATCCCTTAGGTAGTGTCTGGATATCTCTTTGTCTTCAAGGTGAATTTAATAATCATCGTCATAGCATCTGATCTAAGATCAGGATGCGTGTGGGGCTTTTGCAATAGTGTTGACTTGTTGTGGCCGCTCGGCCACTAGCTTCTAAGGAAGCTTCTTAGGTTGCTAGCAGTCTTTAGCGATATATCCTTGCTTGTTGCAGTTGTAGCACTTAGGATTCCAGGGTTTCTTATCGTTAGGTTTGGTCATCATGCTGAGGTCTATAGGTCTGCTATGTTGTCTGTAAGCTGTGCTCTGATGAGTGTTGTTCCAGTTGTTATAGGGTCTGTTGTCATTCTGCTGATTGTTAAACTTTTGTTAGGGTTGCTATTAGTACTTGCGTCCTATGTTAGGGTTCAGTCTCCTTTCTCCTTTCTCCTTGCGGCGTTCAAAGAGTTAATTATCGATTTTGACGGCGTGTTCAACATAGTCCCTGAAACTGGGGGGTTTATTAACCTTAGCTATTTCGTCTTTGACGTTATCCTTAAGTCCTTGATAGAAAGCGAAGACCTTGCTTTCGTTAGTTATATTAAGTTGGGAGGCGATTCTTTAGAATTCAGCTGCATAGAGTGAGGTGGATTTGGTTTGTCTTAGGTGAGCTAAATCACGTTCAGCTTGCCTCTTCTCGTCTGGTTCCAAGAAAAGTGACTTGAGGTCCTTAACATATCCTGTGAAGCTGAAGAAGATGTCCTTAACTTCTTAACTGTACTTTTCAATAGGGTTGTCAAGCTATTCCTGCTTGAGGGGTTCAAACCAGGCTAGGGCTCGTCCTCTGAGGAAAGTGGCTGCGTGGACTATGCGTTCGGTTTCGTTTTGGAAGGTACTCATATAGAAGGCTTAGTAGGTTTATATCTGCACTAAGTATCCTTTAAGTTGTCCTGGAGTCCTGTCGAAGGTGGTGGGGGAGTTAAGTTTGAGTTGTTCCCATCCTTTAACTGGGGCTGAGATAACGTTAGCGGCAGCTCAAAGGGTTGCAACTTCCTTTTCCAGGTCCTAGTTCTTGCGGGCTTGCTCCTGGAGTTCGCTGAGGGCTGCAGCATTCTGGTTAAACATTTCGCGCATTGCCTTGAAGTTGTTGTTGGTTTTGTCGAGCTGGCGCTTAAGTTCTTCAGTGTCGTCCTTGCTGTCTAAGTCGTCCTTTATTTTCTGGTCTCCTAGTTCTTAGGCTAGGTTCTAGGTGGCTCGTCCTCCAGAGGTAGACGAGGATCCAGGGGTAGGCGACTTAACAGAGGTGCAGGAAGATATTATCGTTCGTTACTGTTAGTAGTGATCAATAGTCAACTTACTGAACAGGAGCAATCAAAGTGTTACGGTCAGCTATCTGACAGTAGGGTCTGCTAACAGAAGCTGGGGATTGATACGTTCTAACAGTACACTGGGTTGTGGTCTAGGTCGTAGGTCGTAGCTGAATAGTAGATCAGGTCTTCAGAGGCTAAGGTGATCAGTCCTAGACTCAACAAGTGGTTCGCAGTGAAGGTAAGCTGAGAGTATCCTGAGGATGAATACTAAGTTGATTGCTGAAGAGCTATGGAAGTCTGACCATAAGCCAGGCTCAGGTCATACTATATACAAGTTACGAACAGTGGTCTTTGTCTACTTCCAGGTGATCACCTATGTGCGTAGGTGATCGCGATCAGTTGGCAGAGCCAACTGATCACTGAGCGTTCCTTCCTTTGCCCCACTGATCGTTTCCTTATCTTATCGTCACGTGACTTATACCATAGTTCTTCCGTTCTGAGTGAGTCCCTGTTGTTCCCGTGATCCTGCGGTACAAATGTCCTGTTCTAGCCGCCCGATGCCCGAGTGGGTCGTTCAACTGTTATCCTTGTTTACGGGTCGTAACAAGGATCTTAGCAAGATAAGATTAAGATTAACTACTTAGAAGGCGTACTAAATTCCTAGTTAAGCAACCTATTAATAGGGGTACTAGAAGCGCTAAAGGACTACCACCAGTTTATAAAACTGCTTCTCACTATAGGATCCTGCTTAGATAGCAGGAAGCTTAGGGAACGCTACCTCAGTTACACTTCTCAGAAAGTGCTGCAACCTAACTGCTAATAAGACGCAGATAGAGATATACTGATATCTAGCGTCAGCTGCACTAAGGGTAAAGAGAAGATAAACTTAAATCGCCAACAAAGCAGCTCCTCATCTGAAGACCTGCTGCAGCTTATGAGAGACACCTATAAGTGCTTTAACTGCAACCAGATCAGCTATATTGCTATATAGTGTCCTAAGCTGAAGCGTTCCTATCCTGCAAAGGTTAAGAAAGCTAAGAAGCGAGAAGAGAGCAGTAATAAGAGTCCTATAGAGGAGCTGGGAAGCTCTGAGGCTGAAGAGAGCTTAGGAAAAGAGTAACTCTACTGCAAAGTTAGGCGTTAGAGCCTAAACTTAGTGATATCACAAAATAGAAGCAGTTTAAGTATTACATAAGCAGCAAGTCAGTAGTGATCACTACCTATATATATAAGGGCACTTAAGCAGACGCCCTAATAGATATAGGGTGCAACTTATACGCCTTTGTCGAATATAACCTAGCCTGCAAGCTCTACCTACTAGTAGTGGACTGCTCTAAGCAAGTATTAGGCAGCTTTAGCAATGCTATAGGCGCTATAAAAGCAACAGGTGTGGTTGTCTTTAACCTTAAGCTATGCGGTTATAATGAGAAGATCTTTATATATACTATATATAGCCTTAGCGACAATCTGTTCCTAGGGAAGCCCTAGATAGAGAGGAACTGCATCCTATATAATGCTGCCATGCAACAGATATAATATAAGAGGGGCGGCGTAGACCTACGTCTAAAAGGCGAGGAAGAGCTAGGATGAGTGCACCAGATCAAAGCTGCCCGCCTCCTCCTGGGAGCCCCTTTCGTAACGCTTTATAAGAGGGCATAACAACATACTAAAGGAACTGCAGGATATAAAGTTCAAGCGATCAGCCTAGCAGATATATAGAAGGCTCTTATGAAGAAGACTGAGAAGACAGACCTAAAAGCCCTCCTCCCACCAGCTGTACTAGCTAAGTTCTAAGAGCTATTCCAACCTGATGAAGCTGCTAACCTTCCACTATATCGCCCTAGGGTTAACTATAGGATCCCTATTAAATAGGATGGTAGTAGTAATAAAGCTGTACTACTATAGGGTCTGCTCTATAGTATGTCATAAGAAGAACTGCTCATCCTCCATAAGACCCTATAAGACCTACTTAATAAGGGCTTCATCTGCGCTAGCAGCTCAGAAGCATTAGCCCTAGTACTATTTATATATAAACCAAACAGAGGAATATATTTCTATGTCGACTACTGCGCTCTTAATAAGCTTACTAAGCGTAAGTAATACCCTCTTCCCTTGATTTGAGAGATACTTCAGACTGTTAGCGCTGCTAAGTAGTTCACTAAGCTAGATGTAGTAGCAGCGTTCTATAAGATCTGGATCGCATAGGGAGAGGAGTATAAGACAGCCTTCTAGATGAGATATAGGCTATGTAAATAGCTAGTTATCCCCTTTAGGCTTATAGGAGCCCCTGCTATATTCTAACGATATATTAACAGCATACTTTAAGAGTATCTAGATGACTTTGCAATAGTATATATAGATAACATCCTGATCTACTTAAACAGATTATAATAAGACTATAAAGCGAAGGTTAAGCTAGTACTATATAAGCTTACTACAGCAGGGCTATATTTAGACCCTTATAAGTGTGCGTTCTCTGTGAAGATAGTTAAGTACTTAGGGTTTATTATTACAGCTGGAGTTAGTATCTCTTATAACCCTGAGAAACTGAAGGCAATTAAGGAATAGGCAGCTCTAAAGATAGTTTAGGGAGTCTGAAGCTTCCTTAGATTTACAAACTACTACTGGATCTTTATCCCAGCATACTTAGAGATTGCTGGACCCCTGATAGCTCTTATAAAGAAGGGTGTCCCCTTCTGCTAGGGTAAGGAATAAGAAGTAGCATTCCAGGAGCTCAAGAGGATCTTTGCTGCTAAGCCTATTCTATATCAACTAGACCCTAAGCGTACAACCTATGTTGAGGCTGATTGCTCAGGCTTTGCCCTTAGAGGCGTACTCTCACAGGAAGATAAGTACAGCAGACGTCACGCAGTAGCCTACCACTTGCAGCAGCTTAACGCTGCCCAGTTTAACTATCTGATATATAATAAGGAGATGCTAGCTATTATAAGCTGTCTATAAGAATAGAGAGCAGAGCTACAGAGTGTCAGCCACTTTAGGATCCTATCAGACCATAAGAACCTAAAGTACTTTATAACAAAGCAGAAGCTTATAGAACAGCAAAGCTGATAGGCAGAGGAACTATCTCAGTATAACTTCAAGATATAATACCAGCTAGGAAGCAAAGCAGTAGTGCTAGACGCACTCTCTAGATGTGAATAAGATATACCTACGTCTCTAGAGGATAAGCATAAATAAGGTTGAATCCTATAGCTCCTCCCAGAAGCAACCCTACCCTCAGCATATGTATAACATATAGAGGCAGCACTATTAATGCTTATATTTACTGACGACAAAGAACTATAGCAACTCTGGGATCAGACCTAAGGATAAGATGAAGTCTACCAGCAGGCCTATGCTGCTGTAAAATAACGAGAAAGAAGCTTCCCCCTAAGCCTTAAGCTA